GTTTGAATATTTGGGCGTTCTCAGAAATGCTCACAGTTTCTTTACAACAAACTTGCCTCAAATTATTTTATGCTACTTTAAAGTATTCAGTAAGAGCAGACATAATCGAGAAATGCTACGATATCGTAAACAGCAGAATAAAATCAAGTTTTTTCTCTGTTAGAGTTCTCTTTATCGACGCATCAAAAATTTATTGGCACACTACCAGGCGTATATATTCGTGAGTACTGATTTCCAAATCGGCAAGAAAAGTCAACCCGAATTTCAATTGAAGGTAGGAGAAATAGATATTGCTTTCTTCGTTCCGTTTTTCAACGGAGGAGCATTCGAAGCCCAAAATGTATGAGATTACGGCCTGCTGGAGCACAACTAGGGTGGGGGATTGTCTTTATGTGCAGGCCAATTTCGGCCAATAAACATGTTTTATGAGAGATGGTTTGAGAGAGACAATCAATAATTAAGCTGCTGAGGAGTTCAATATAAACGGTTAGACGATGTGTTGAAATGTTAGTCCATCGGTTAACTCAGAGACAATTTGAATGACCAAACCAGCATTGCTATCGATTAGGGTATTAGAGGTTTGGAAATACCAGTTATTTAATTCAGGATGGGAGTTGGAATGCAAGAGAATTTAGAATAGATATATCATTGAATTGTACATGAATGGCAATAATTTTGGTGAAATTTGAAGTCGGGAGTCGAGAACAGAGAAATACCTCAAGGTACAAATCAATTTATTTACTTTAGAATAAACACTAATATCAGTTTGGCTGAGAAGTCCTCTGTACTCACACGACAGCTCATCAATCGAAATGTTTAAGCTGGAATCAGATTTCTAGATTTGATCGTTTTCGAATTGTCGTCTTCATAATGTCAAAAGTGAGAACAACTCATGAGTAAACTTTGGCAAACATTTTGCTCGTCATCAAAATAATTCGCATTTATCTACTTACTATTCTCAATCTGCATTCTACTTATCTAAACCATATCTTCTTCCACACAAAACTCAGTTTTTTTGTGAGCATGTCAATTCAGGTGGTAACATGCAATTATAATATAAACCTTATGACAGAAACACTTATGTATTTGGTAAGGATATTAATTTCGGTTACAAAATACAATTCTTTGGTGAATCGATAATGAAATGCTACTGGCGACATTAAACCAATTGTGCTAAATTCTCTTCAATTTGTGGGCCTAGAAAATTATGTTAAACATGTGCTAACTGAGGTGTATTTGCTGAATTTTAAGTTGATATGAAACTGAAACTGATATAAACTGACATCTGAAGATGTTTCAAAAATAAGATCGCCAGTCGTTTGATTTTTTAGAATGGCGAGATTTTAGAGGTAACGCCCATCCTCAAGTACATATTCAGATGATTAGCATTTTCTCATTTCAAGTTTATTTGCATTTTGAGATACTCCCTCTGAAGTGATGGTTTTGAATGTATTTTCAGCATTTACGTAAGTTTGTCTGCTTTGGTTGGAAAATGACTTGCGTTCATTTCATGGCTATTGGTAATGCAATATGATGTGACCTAACGTTCTTGGAGAGTTCTGAATAAGTATTGGGAAATTTATACATCGTCATAAATAGTAACAGTTGACTTAGACGAAGAGAGAATGAATGCAGAAGTATTAATGTTACATTGCTTTGTTACAAAACGTCTTCTTATTTCTGAGAATTGAAGATGTTTCAAATACTCTGCTGTTCCCATCTCGAACTTTTCTTCCTCCCCTCTGTGAAGACCGGAGTAAGCTAGAGCTAATGATAACTATCGAAACGCCTGTCATTTGATATAAAATAAAATATATCTTTGCCTATATAATGAATGAGTAGAGTTTCTTTACCCTACATACTATATTTATTTATTTATTTAACCAAGTCACGATTTTGGAAAATATACCAATTTTGCTGCAATTCGATTTTAACATGATTTTCTATCACTGGGATATTTAAGCATTGATAACCTGTTACAAATATTCAAAATCATTCAGAAAAATCGGTGTGGGTGATGAGATTGGATCCTCCATGGTAAAAAGTCATCTAGTAGTCTCGTTACTATTGATCAACATTAGTTAATGCCCAAAGAACCAGTGATATGGGGTGTCATGAACAAATGTCCTTGCAAAATGAGCTCATCCATTAATTAATTCTCACCATTCAATTGAAACTTCCATCTGTTCTCCTGTTAAGACCGCATGCTTCAAATTTCGTTACCCATACAATTTGATTAAAAAAATCGATGGCAATTCAATTGGTTTTTTTTGAGAGAATTCATTTCCACGTTGTAATATACTTGGAATTACCTATGACAATTCGAAAGACAATTGTTCGTAAATGCAGAATTTTGAGTTGTTTCAAGTCAAAAGAAAAGAAATTGAGTGAAAATAGATAGGGCCATGGAAACGATTTGCCAAGAATCCAGTTGTGATGACATTGCTTTACTCAGTCCAGCAATTCAAACATTGGGAATGAGAACTCACTTCTTCAAATTGACCACCGTTCCTTCATCTCATGACTGGTGCAAAATTAGCCACATTGTAGACGTATCACAGTTTTCTACACTGCAAAATTACCATTTCCTTTAAAAAAATACGACAAGATTGAATTTGATACACTTCCATGAAAAGACTCCTATTAAAAGAAGTTATGGATTCTACTTCGCATTTTCGATGGCCAACTACTGTACACCCACCAACTCAGGCTATAGATTCCACGCCTGTCTCAAACCTAGGTGTGTGCATATGGTGCAGATTCGTCCACATAATTTAAGAAGATAAAATCATATGATTGATTATTATTTTTTCGTTATATTATAACAGTGCCAATAACAATCAAGTGAATGTAAGACATTATGCAACTCAGTGTAGTCACACTCAGTTTAATGCAGAAAAGCATTTACTACCCAGACAAATTATCTTGGAATAAGCATAAGTTGAATATAAAATGCGAACAATTTGGCTGCAGATATGTATTCCTCATAAAAGCCTAAAATTTGGCCACATATTCACCAAAAACTATAATGGTTTGGTTTCTAGGCACTGCCAATTGATCAATTCTCCCATCACATACTGATTGAAGCCCAGTCATTTCACCATTCAGTGGATTACTTCTTTCCATTCTTGATCTAATTTCTCCAAAATTGCATTATGCCACCAGAGCATTAACGCAACCCATAAGGAGTAAAGCATGTTCCAAACACTGCAAGCAGCAGCAGCATGGCTGGTAGCTCTAGAGATGAATAGGAAAGAACAGTTTCTTCTTCCACTTAGTTCAGCAATTTCCGCCAAAACACAGCCACTTGTATCGTCTTCCCGTCCATGAACATAGATTAATGATTACTTTCTGCAATGGCAAAACTATAAGTTACGTATTTCATGTGCCTTTCCAATTTCATGGCAGTGTCTCCTTAATGACCACATATTCAGTAATGAGAATGAGACAGTACCTGGCACTGTCAGTTAAATTGAAATCTATTCCACCCACTGAAGCTTCAATAACAAACTCCTTTGACAAAAATTTTTCATTATGATCAACTTCAGGAGACGATGGAAATGCTTTTCGAGTTAAACCCGTTCATGAGGGCACGCAACCGTGTGCAGAGTGCCTTGAATTTTACTGTATCTCTTCCATCACTTATCCACAGACTTTGCAGTAAGATTTGAAGTTGATCGACTCTTATGTGTTGTAGGAAGTGCTGGTTGGAGGCTAATCTCCTAAAATCACATGCTTTCCTTCTCAATGAGATTGGTGTTTGAGGTGATATTTCCTGTTGGCCAAAAATCCACCAAATCAAGTCAATCAAGTCTTCAAGACGATAACCTCATGAGCGTAGTGAAAATTGTCAAAATATCAGACCTTGTTAGAGGGGACTCATCTCTTTTCATTCTCTTTCAGAAATAATAATTCTATCACCCATCATTTTTTACCAATATTTGCTATTTCGTTACGAAACCCGCTTCACTAATATTCCTCACATAATTATTGATTTTTAAAACACTTGAAATTCAAGATGCGAACACTTGCCACATGCATACACGAATTATCTTTATTTTGGTTAAAAAAATGAACCTTGTCTAGATGAAGTCCGTTGTCCAGTGAATCAGCTATTTGCAGCCAAGATTGTGGGCCATCAGATGTATTCCCAATGCGTTTTCAACATTTATGACTATTTCAACAGTGTAGGCAAAGTCGACGACTGCCATAACAATACTAATGAGTTGATACAGTAATTGAGACAGATGACTAACTCATGTGAAAAACTATTGCATTTTGAGAGATTGGGTTGTTTATTATTTTCGATACTGTTCTTAATTACCGGAAATTGTGTCCAATGAACGAGTTTCTGAACAGGAATAACTGCGAAATCTTTGGTCAAGAAATAGACAAGTAACAGCTTCTACGAAAATATGCAAATCGATTAGTGACACTTCTTGTGGCAATTCATTGAACCTATCTACATAGTTAGTGATGAGGTCTTAATCAATTTTTTGGGAACTTTGTAATCAATTAAATCTTTGCAAATACACTGCACTTGGCCCATTTTTTCATAAATTTCTTGGTTCTCGACTTGATGTGTGCTAGGTTTTGAAGTGAATGGAAAACCGTATGGTTTAACTTCACAAATAGCACATGATTTGGTTGTACAACGAATTTGAAATAGGTGTTTCGCATAGTGCAGAATATGGCGCGATGTAATCAAAAGCACATGGCAATCAGTGAGGTGTCTCTTAAGAAACGTCTAATCGAATTATAATTGAAGGTTGGAAAAGCCGAAATTTATATCCCTGTTATGGTGGTCAACGGAACAGCAATTGAAGCTCTAAAGAGAAGGGATTACAGTTGATGCTTAAGTAGACTTTATTCAATACATTTAAAAAAAGGATAGATTTTAAAAACTCTACTGAGCATTGTTAAAAGCGAAAAACTATAACTGAGATATAATCAATTAGAAATCCGTAATTCGTGCATGTTTTCGGCTAAAACGCCTGACAAAATTCAGTAGAATATGTGTTCAGAAGGGTTAACTCAAATGCTTGGCGAAACGTTACAACAAGTTTTCAATGAAATATGTCAATGTTCTTCTATTTTTTATCATATAAATATACGTAGCAATAAGTGTGAGTTACATTTGAGAGTAAATATTGAAATTTTATGTAATGTAGCTTAGTCTGACATAAGCTCGTACCAAATCAAACTGGCACAAATTGTTAGTAAAATCACAAATTCATTCACACTAATTTATCTAAGTGCATTCATCTCTATTAAATACATACCTCTGGAAGATTCTAGATTTAATATAAATTTAATTAGTGTGGATAGGTAAGTTTTTAGGTGGAATTAGAGCTCAACGAATCATAAAGTTTACATATTTACGAAACTCAAAAATATAGGCTTTTTTGGAAAATATTAAAGAGTGATTTCCTTAGCGAGTGCTCTTTCTGTCGTTGTGCAGATAAATTCACGTATTCCTACCTGCAAAATGTTCATATAGGCATCATATAATATTCATGAGACATTATTTGATCATTAAAAACTCCTAAAACCCAATTAAAGTGTCCTCTAATAAGCAGTGCATGCAGGAAATACTGTGGGATCATTTTTTCCCTTCAATTGGGCAAATCTGGTTTTATCCTGCAGTCTCAAATCGAAATCCACCTAGACAGAATTTTCGAGAGAGCATATGATTACTTGGTTGAAAAGTGCTCAAACTGCCGACATCAAACAAGTTGTGAACAGACCACAAGTAAATTTTTGCTTGTGTTGAACTCGATTTCAACAATCAGTATAAGACAAGACATGTTTCATAAATAGAATTAATTTTCATAAAGAATATTATCTAAAGCAAAGTGAAAATAAAAAGGAGAAATCATGCTGCAATATATTGAACCGAATCATATCCTCTCCTATGCAAAACCCAAGTTCCATGTAACTACTGGATGCCAAATTCGTTTTAAAAAATACAATTTGTTTCGCAATTCATTTTCGCGCTCCTTGTGACCATAATCAAATTGTGTTCCATTTTCTTCAAAAACTACCACACATCAATTTGATTACCAGAAAAGTTATGTCAAGCATGTGCCAACTGTAGGGTATTAGACACAATTTTATTGGCTATGAAAGGGTATGTGTGCTATTCCATTGCTCCAAATACTCCCAAAAGTCTGCCACTATTGCATTCTCATCGCAACCTACCACAGCTTTTTGCAATAATTGTATTATCGATGCAATTCCCAACTGAGATCCGAAATTTCGATGAAGACTTCCTACCTAACTTTGCAAATAGGTTCAATCTATTGCGACAAGAAATGAGCCTAATTGATTTGAATATACAAGTGAGTACATATTTTGGTTGAAGAGACATCTTTTCTCATTCCAGACCAAAGGCGGCACTTCTATTCCTGCCCACAAACTTGTCCTTTGTGCACAATTCCCAGGAATAAAGAAGAGTATCTTAGAGAGCAAACATTCAAACCTCTCAAATTGGAGTCGTTTTCCGAATGAGTAGGTCATTTATCCTGATTCCATTACCAACTCGTTAGTATTGTTATGGCAGCCGTCGATTTCGCCTACACTGGTGAAATAATCATAAATGTTGAAAACGTAATGGGGATATATCTGATGGCCCACAATCTTGGCTGCAAAGAGCTGATTGACTGGACAACGGAGTTCATCAAGACAAGGTTCGTTTATTGCAACCAGAAAAAAACATAATGCGTGTGTGTGTAAGAGTGATAGTTTTAGTAGAGTGAGGTTCAAAAAAAAGCAAAATATGAGTAATAGAATAAGAGTTTGTGGCAAAGGATTAAAAAACGTACCACACATCACTCATGCGCAAGCGGCCATTGTCTTGTAGACTTGA